CACACACACACACTCTCCAGGTGGCCAGCAGATCTCCCCCCCCCTTTCCCCTTTGGAAGCCATAAATTTGTTTTCTATGTCTGTGAGTCTGTTTCTGTTTTGTAAATAAGTTAATTTGCATCATTTTTTTAAGATTCCACATATAAGTGATATCATATGGTGTTTGTCTTTCTCTGACATACTTCACTTAGTATGATAATCTCCAGGTCCATCCATGTTGCTGCAAATAGCATTATTTCATTCTTTTTAATGGCTCAGTGATATCCCATTGTATATATGTATCACATCTTCATTATCCATTCATCTGTCGATGGACATTTAGGTTGCTTCCATATCTTGGCTATTGTAAATAGAGCTGCTATGAACATTTGGGTGCAGGTATCCTTTCGAATTAAAGTTTTCTCTGGATATATGCCCAGGAGCAGGATTGCAGGATCATATGGTAACTCTATTTTTAGTTCTTTAAGGAACCTCCATACTATTCTCCATAGTGGCTGCACCAATTTACATTCCCACCAACAGTGTAGGAGGGCTCCCTGTCCTCCACACCCTCTCCAGCATTTATTATTTGTAGACTTTTTTTTTTTGCGGTACGCGGGCCTCTCACTGTTGCGGCCCCTCCCGTCGCGGAGCACAGGCTCCAGACACGCAGGCTCAGCGGCCATGGCTCACCGGCCCAGCCGCTCCGCGGCATGTGGGATCTTCCCGGACCGGGGCACTAACCTGTGTCCCCTGCATCGGCAGGCAGACTCTCAACCACTGCGCCACCAGGGAAGCCCTATTTGTAGACTTTTTGATGACGGCCATTCTAACCGGTGTGAGGTGATACCTCATTTTGGTTTTGACTTACATTTCCCTAATAATTCGCGATACTGAGCATCTTTTCATGTGCCTCTTGGCCAACTGTATGTCTTCTTTGGAGAGATATATATTTGGTCTTCTGCCCATTTTTCAGTTGGGTTGTTTGTTGTTTTGATATTGAGCTGTATGAGCTGTTTGCATATTTTGGAAATTAATCCCTTGTCGGTCGCACTGTTTGCAAATATTTTCTCCCATTCTGTGGGTTGTTTTATGGTTTCCTTTGCTGTGCAAAAACTTTTAAGCTTAATTAGGTCCCATTTGTTTATTTTTGTTTTTGTTTCCATTACTTTACAAGATGGATCCAAAAATATGTTGCTGCAATTTATGTCTAAGAATGTCCTGCCTATTTTTTCCTCTAGAAGTTTTATAGAATCCGGTCTTACATTTAGGTCTATAATCCATTTTGAGTTTATTCTGAATATGCTGTTAGAGAATGTTCTAATTTCATTCTGTTACATGTAGCTGTCCAGTTTTCCCAGCACCACTTATTGAAGAGACTATCTTTTATCCGTTGTATATTTTTGCCTCCTTTGTCATAGATTGACCATAAGTGCATGGGTTTATTTCTGGGCTTTCTATCCTGTTCCATTGATCTAGGTGTTTATTTTTGCACCAGTACCATACTGTTTTGATGACTGTAGTTTTGTAGTATTGTCTGCAGTCAGGGAGCATGATTCCTCCATCTCCGTTCTTCTTTCTCAAGATGGTTTGGCTACTCAGGGTCTTTTGTGTTTCCATACAAACTAAAAATTTTTTGTTCCAGTTCTGTGAAAAATACCATTGATAATTTGATAGGGATTGCATTGAATCTGTAGATTGCCTTAGGTAGTATGGTCATTTTAACAATATTGATTCTTCCAATCCAAAATCACAGTACATCTTTCCATCTGCTTGTGTCATTATCAGTGTCTTTCATCAGTGTCCTATAATTTTCATAGTAGAGGTTTTTCTGCCTCCTTAGGTAGGTTTATTCCTACCTAAGGAGGCAAATGTATTGGGATCCCCAGCTATAATTGTTTAAATGTATTAGGATCCCCAGCTATAATTGTAACTTGGGCACCAGTATTGATTAAGGCCTTTAAGGCCAATGGGTGCATCTTAGCTCATGTTAAAATTAATTTAGAACCAGTGTTGTAGAGGCACAAAAGCCAATCAGTGCTCTGTTGGATAAATTATTTTAGTATATTCTGGATTCACAATTGGGCCAAATTGCTGAACTCTGTTTCATTTCTGATTCCTCACCCTATAGCAAAGTCCCTCATACCTCTACTTGGTGGTTACTGGATATACTTTGGAGGGTTCTACTTTACTCTGCTCATATTTATAAGTTTCTTCCTACAGAGAGTCCCAACTCAGTACTGTCAGGGCCCCTCCATGGTGATTACTGCTTTAATGGGTTGAGAGACACTGGTCTTAAGTCAGTTTTGAAATAACTCTTTGGCATGTTGATAAATCTCTGCACTCAATAGGACCCATAGTCTTTGTTGGTCCATTTTGCAGTTATCCAACAGAGTAATGGCATCCTTGGCCCTTAAAAAAAATTTTTTTAAGTACAGTTGACATGCAATATTGTATTAGTTTCAGGCATACAACATAGTGGTTTGACATTTATATACATGACACACTTCTTATTGGTTTGCCCAGATGTGAGGCAACAAATGAAGAGGGAGGAGTGGGGCTTGAAAGTATCAGAGAACAAACATAAAAAATGGAGTCAGACTCTTATTGTTTTGCTCCAGGAAGACCTGTCTGGCAGTGATGTGTGAGAGACAGGAGATACATGGCTGTTTCAATAGTTAAGGTAAGATGGTACTTTATATTGGTTTTTATCTCACAAATCAAAAAGAAAAAGTTTCCCTGATCAAGTCTAAAGATGGTGCCACTATTTAGTGTGTCAGTTCTCAGGGCCAGCTGGTTTTGACCTTTGAATGAATGGAGGAGACTGGCTCTCTCTAACAGCCAGGGTACTTCATACTCTGTCCTTTCTTCATCTTTTCTATCCTTCGATTTGTGTTCTAATGAGAAATGAATTCACCAGAGAGACTGCTTGAGCAAATCTGCAATCTTAATAATTTAATACTGGCTAATCAAGTTAAGTGTTGGGTGCTATTATGTTCTAATAGTCCTGAGAGTAAGTTGGTCACATATAGGTAGGGAGTTTTAAATTAGCTTTTTACTGTTAACTGCAGAGACATTTTGTATTACTTAAGAAAGTGCTTTGGCACCAAGTGCTATATTAACATTAAATTATTTTGTCCTCTTAATGGGCGAGTGTAGTAGGGACCATTTCATAGATGAGGAAACCGAGGCACTTTGGAAGTTAAATAACCTGCCCATTGTTCACATAGCTAGTAAGTGGTAGAGCTAAGATTTGGAAGCCAGGATCCTAGAATTTGAATCTGGCTCCAAAGTCCACTTCTTAACCACTGTGCTATATTGCTTCCCTTCTCACACGTACCACAATAACCACAATGCTATACATTCTTAGGGAAATTAAGACTATATATAACAGGTTTCTCTTTAACAAGTATGGTATTTGGGGTTATGGATAAGTCACCAAATAATTTAATTTCAGTTTCAAAGTCCTTAGGTTTTCATTTTTTGATGTTAAAGTATAAACACAAAATCACTACATTTCAATGGTATTTAATGTATGTGAAGAAATGGTAAATATAAGGCCCCGAATAAAATATTGTATATGAAAGACAGCAATGTGAGAATTCCATTTGCAAATCTGAAATGGAAAAAAAATCACAATAGCTTAAAAAAACAGCACTTTCTTTAAGACAAATAGTATCACTATTCTACTTTCAATATCTAGATGGGTTCATAGACTTCCTTTGTGGCTTTAAATCAGTTTTATGCGATTGGCTGCATCCATTCTGGGGAAATGTTTTCCACAAAGTGAAACTTAGTTTTGAAAATCAGTATAATAAGACCAATGTAGAGAAATCAGACAGTTCAGTGTTTGGACCTTAATTATCTGATCTGAGGTCTGTGTTTATCATTTGAATCAGAGTCGTTGTAAAATTCTCCCTGTTAGAGTTAAGAATAATTTATCCTGTCTTTTCAGCTTAATCTTGGCTGGACAGTTGCCCTCTGGGTGGAGAAACTGAGAACAAGTGCTCCTGGCCTTCTTGTGTATCTTCCAGGGTGTTAATCCCACTGTTCTCAGCAAGGCCCAGCTTCAGGGATTCCTCTGCTGTCTACGTAAACCCTCCCTGACGTGCGCCGTGATAAGGATATTTTTTAAGCCATCTGCATCTTCGTGTACAAACCAGCTTACTTTAACTGACTCTGTTGGTCCCATCAGCAAAATAACCTCTCCGTGCAAAGAAACAACTTTTTCAATTAAATTGACATTTAGAATAAATACAAAATGCATTTGTACGTTGCCTCTTCTTCCCCTACACTTGACTGCTTTGCTTGTGCAGGTTGCCACAGTGTTAGCCAGATGATCTTTAATAAAAGATATAGCAACATAAATCAAAAGCAAAGAACCATTACATCAGATTTTTCCATATGTCTCACCTACCCCCTGGAGGAAGGTAAGTTGCTTTTTCCTTGGGAAGGCCTCACTCAATCCTATGACTTTGTGTTAGGAAAAAATGGCATTTAACTAAACCCAGTCAGCAATGTTGACGCTTAGGATGTTTGACGATTTGTTACTATCCTTTGTTTTGCTTGAGAAACTCGATATGCAGCCAACATTTTGCCAAGAGAAATGAGTGCAGAAAGTTGATGGTACATGACTGGATGGAATTAGTTTGGGCCCATCTTCAAACTGAATCGAGTTCCAAGCTGGGTTGAGGCTTAACTCAAGAGGACTTGCCTAATGGCAATGGCTTCCTGGAGGCCCTGACCGGCTCCAAAGGTTCTGGCAGTGCCACAGTCTGCAGGGTAGATCGAGTGCATTAATTTGGATTAGGCTTAGTTGTGAATGGCGGAAAACTCAGTAGAAGTAAATTTTACTTCTTTCTCTTACAAGTTCGTAGATTTGAAGTCCAGAGGTGATATGGCAGCCCTGTTCCATGAAATCCTCAGGAACTCAGGATGCTCCTAGCTCATTGCTCTGTCCCTCGTAGGCAGCCCTGATCCTTTTGGTCTAAGTTGGCTTGAGTCTGGGATCCTTTAGGATGAGCCCTTGGGAGTCTTCCTTCATCCAGTAGCTAGTGGACCAGTCTAGAGAAAACAGCACATTTGCCAGGATGATTTTGTGCTTGTTTTTGTTTTGTCAGCAGGGAGGATAAGGTCAGCCTCTCTCTATTTTTAATTTTGTTTCTGACTGTTACCTCTGTACTTCGCTTATTGAAAAGCAGCATTTGTATTAATTGCAAATGTGGTGAAAGCTCTAAGTTTTTTTGGGGGGAGGCAGATATGATGTTTCTTTTTCCCCCTGTAGCTAAAGTGAATCATCTAGCTGTCGTTCAAATTAGTGAGGTTTTCAGTTCAGGAAATATTTATTCAACACTTTCTAAGGGTCAAGGACTATGCTAGAGGATATGGGAATAAAAGATGAACAAGACAGGATTGATGCATTCTCATAGTGGAAATGAGGCAAGCATACAGATAACTCGAATACAAAGCAAAATGTGAATATAAAAGCTACACAGTGTTGTGCAAAACCAAAGGAGAGGTAACTTTTACTGGATGACTCAGAGAGGGCTTCATGGAGTCACTGTCATCTGGGCTTTGGCGGACTAGAGGCAACCGTTGGTCACCATTCCCATCCTCCTCCTGGACGGTACAGCCCATCTCCCGTTTTAGAGGCTGAAAGTACTAGATGCTTGTATTTCTTGCCTTCTTTGAAGCTAGAGAATGAGCATGGATGATTCCTTTTAATTAGCACCTTAGCAGAGGTTTGCTAAGTGCATGCTGGAAAAGCTTTTCCTTCCCTTAAAAAAGGTATATGAGAGGAACTCCTTTCTTCCTCTCTGTTGACATAGGAAGGAATGCCTGGAGCAGTGGCAACTATCTTGTGACTATAAGGAAACAAGCCTCAAGACAATGGCCAACATGCTAAAGACAGCAAAGCAGAATGAAAGAAAGCACATGGCTCTTTCTCAGAACTTCTTGCTATGTAAGATAATAAATGTCTGTATTGTTTAAAGCAGTTAGTTGAGTATCCTGCTACCGGAAGCCATAAGCATCTTAACTGAGAGAGTGGGATTTTCCCAGTCAGTTTGGAGTTATGGTAGGTGGTGGGGTAGGGTGAAGTGGTGCTGGAGAGAGAATATTCCAGTCAACAGAAACAGTGTGAACAAAAGTGTGGAAAGGAAAAACCCAGGTTATATTAGGGAAATAGGAAGTGGTCTGTTTGGAGCCAAGAGAAGAGAGGATGGCCAGTAATGGGAGGTAACTGGTAAGATAGTTTAGGACAAAAGCATGGAAGGCTTTGTAGGCATATTTAAGAGTTTAGAGCTTATTCAGAAGAAACAGTGAGCAGTTGAAGGTTTTTGTGTAGGGAGAACTGTAATCAAAACTATGCTTTTTTTGAAGAATATCACAACACACACGCACACACATACTTTCTCATGGTTACACTTTTTTCCTTTTGAATTTTCTCCATCCTGTCATCAAGAACATGTCACTTACAAAGACAAAAAGAGGGACAGATTTTTATGCCTTTTATACTACTGCTGGTTAACTTTGCATAACTCCTTAACAATTATAATTGCATAAGGTAGTTTCCCTTTAATTAACTGACTCTCATTTAGGCATCTTTAAAATGAAAAGATGTGATTTTTATGGACATTTGCAGATGAGAAGAACTCTTATCAGAGATGCTCATTCTATTTTAATGTGCAATTATTTTGTAGTTTTACCAGGAGTTGAAGCAATTTAATCAACATCAGTTCCTTTACCCTCATACCACTACTTACCCTTTAGGTTTTTTCCTGAAATGAATTTTTTTAAAGGACTGAAGATGATGCATTATAATATTTAAACAAGTACAAAATATGTAATTGGCTTATGTAAGTGAACCAAATAAATCTGACTTCATGATTTGGCAGTAAAATGTTATATCATAGCTCTAAATTATTATTTAGATAATATGTTCTTCAGGAAACAAGCATATTATTCATTAGGAGTTTCAGTTTATTTCAGAAAGTGAAGGCAGATTATGTCAGAGTAAACAGAGCAATTACTCTTCCTTAGTAAAAACTGAGCAAACCTCAACTTGGCTTTGGACTTCTAGAAAGACAATAGCAATCCAGTAGACGTTACTCTTGTTCTGAACAAAGCTTTTTAGAATTTTGCCAGATGATTTAAAGCATAATTCTGTTTTCATCAGTTCTGAAAATACCACATATAAGGCACAAAGTATTTGATAAATGAGGGCAAAATAATAAACTTGGCCCACTAAAAAATATTATATCAGACAAAACTAGCTGTTGCTGTTTGGTTTGTCATCAAGAATTATTCTCTTATTTCGTAACATAATTTGTTTGTTACACATTGTTTGGGACCATTGTAACGAACCTCCAACTGTATGGGAGAATTTCTAGAAAAAAAATTAAAGTCATGCTAGAAGTCTGTTATACTAGCATGAGTTGATTTAAAAAGATTTTAAATGTTTAAAATTTAGAATTAAAAAAAACACTTTTGACTTAACTTTAATAATTAGTTCTGAAAATTAAAAAAACCATCTCTTCTTTATAAGAAAGATGCGTACCTGTGTCTCAGATCAATGCTTCTCAAACTGTAGTGTGCACGTGAATCATCTAGAGGGCAGTTGTCTGGGATGGAGCCTGAGATTCTGTATCACTAACAACCTCAATGCTGATGCTTCTGGTTCACTGACTACATTTTTAATAACTTGGTTTTAGAGGAACAGAAAAAAGAATTGCTCCTGTTACCAAGCTCCTGTTACCAAGCCAGAAAAATGTATTCTGCAAACTATCTGATAGATCAATTTAATCACATGTAAACTGGTCATGAAATGCTGTGATCAGGAAAGGCCATCATTCAATACTCAGCTATTTGCAACTGCAAAAATGCATGAAATTTTAACTTAGTTACATTTTCTAAAATGTTTTTCTTTTGTGCCCTTCATCACTCTATAGCCCTGATGTTCTCCCCCAATGGGTTTAAACTAGTATAGGCTGCAGACTCCAAACACCAAATACAAGCTCGTATTTTGGATCTGTGTGTGGAAGGAAACTTGGAATCCGTCTTTTCCAAGTCTATGAACATATTGAAGTGCAGTCATTTTCATTAAATACTCTTAGCAAGTAATTAATGCTCTGTTTGGAGCTACACGTGAGCTCCTGTCTTGCAAATGCTGGATTTGTGTTCGATATCATTTTGCAGACATTCAGGCTAGTTACTGGTCTTTCATAAACACTCATGAAGTGGGAAAGGAAGGAATTTAGGCAGAACGAATCCCGTAGCTAATAACAGATGAGATATAATTATATAGAGGTTGTGTTTTTGTTTTTTTTTTTAAATACTGAACTCTGGGCATTTAGCAGAAAGCTATTTCTGCAAAGCTGATTTTTTCCCCACCCCTTGACTAAAATCATCTTGCACAAGTAAAGGTGAAGGGAAGTAAATATTTACCTCACTGGTTAGGCGCAGCCAGGCATGGGTGCAGGGCACGCTGTGTAGGACTCCTTCCCCTGCACAGAACTAACCCCTCCAGGCAGCTCCTGAGGAAAGATGCAAATTAGTTTTTTTTTTTGAAAACTGGCAGTTTTCTCTGCCTTACCTGTGGATGTCAGCAAACTAGTCATTAAATATATTTCTGTCAAAGTTCATTTGTCATGTTTCGTCTTTTTTAAAGATCAAGTCTGAGGTCAGCGATGAGCACCACAAATCTTAACTGGAAGTGATACCTAAATTATAAGCTACAAGAATGCCAGACTCTGGTAAGTCAGTTACTGGCCTAAAGATATTTTCATTTCACTTGAAATTCTCAAATTGTTATTGTTTCCTCACTAGCATGTAGATCTCAGTTTCTATAGTAGGAAAAATTCCCTCATTACAAATGAGAATAAGAAATAAATATCCAAGAAAGAAAGAACGGAAATGCCATTATACAATAAGCCAAGAGATGTTATGACGGAAGATGTATGGTATCTGATACACAATTGTCTGCTCATTAAATGCCAGGACATTTAGTAATACTTTAGTGTACAGCATTTAGAAACAAATTTTACATTCATCTAAAGTGGGGGGAAAAACAGGATACAGAACTGTAAAAATTTTGTGTAATTGATATGATCACTATAAACAAAAATGCATAGAAAAATATCTAAAATGCTGTCACTGATGATCTTTGATTGATGGGCTCATGGGTATCACTTGCTTTTCTTTTTTTATTGAAGTATGGTAAGTCCCCTAATACAAACCTTCAAGTTTCAGGCTTTCAAAGATGCGAATGTGCATTCGCATGTCGAATAACGTAAGTTCGCTCCCGTGTCTGGCGTGCATTGTCACGTGCGTGCATCCTCTACAAGTGGCTGTGCTTTTGCGTACTTTACTGTACAGTACTGTATAGGGTACGGCAGTACAGTATCTTTATTTCAAGCCCAGGATGTCCCAAAGCAAGCGTCAAAGCAGCGGTGACGTAGCTGGTACTGCAAAGTTAGTACCAGCTTACAAACGAATTGGACTTACGAACATACTCTTGGAATGGAAGTTGTTCCTGTTATAGTTGATTTACAATGTTGTGTTAGTTTCTGGAATACAGCAAAGTGATTCAGTCATCTATTTATCTATTCTTTTTCAGATCCTTTTCCATTACAGGTTATTACAAGGTACTGAGTATAGTTCCCTGTGCTCTGCAGTAGGACCTTGTTGTTTATTTTGTTTATAGTAGTGTCCTTTGGTAAGCATAAGTTTGTTTTCTAGTGCACAGCATTTTTAACCCCAGCTACCACCCTTCTTCCTCCCCACATCAAAGCGATTTAACCTAAGTTGAGCATTCATTGAGTATCTACTCTGTAGCAGGCATTATCCAAAACAGCATCTCACCCACACTAACCCTCCATTGTGGCATCTGCTCTGGAACAGAGCCCTGCACCTCCCCGTCCCCTTCCTAGTCTATGGCTTTGTATCATGGGAAGTCCCAAGCAAGCTTTTGGTAACCAGTGCTATACAGACATGAACAGATGGTGCCAGCCAGAGAACCTCATCACCGACATCCATTAAGATGCTCTCTTGGTCCTTGGTCCCGACTAGGCTTCATAACAAGTATTCTCAGACTGCCAGAGGGGGAATAGAACCTAGCCAAGCACTCCATTACACCTGTGCAGCCGGCTAAGATGAAGAACTGGGGGGTAACATTTTGATTTGTTAAAAATACTTCCCTTTATAAAATTGCCTCAGGATAAAAGTACAAAACTTAAACCATTATTAGGCATAAAAAAACAGTGATAATTAAGATAGCATCAAAACCTCCTAGAGGAAGCCAGAGTAAACAAAAGGCAATTAGAGATGGTATTGAAATTGTGAGTATGTTTCGTCACAAGTCTTCACTTCTTTTATTAAGAAGATATGGGGGTTTGCCCTAGATTTAATTTTACATCAATTTATTCAGTGTTTACGGTGTTGGCCAAAAGATCAAGATTGTATTGAGGATGATACCGACCTATTCTCTGTCCACTGAGTTTCTGAGCTTTTAATACCACCAATAACAGCCCATATTATGGTTCCTACCTGGGCAACCCTAAAGCATTTAGAGGTGCAATCCAAGAGATGCTGTGTAAAACCAAAGTGATGGCTTGGGACTATTATTAGCCTTATTTTGAGAAGGAGTAACTGACTCCAAAGGTTTAAGAATCATGCTCTCAGGCTTCCCTGGTGGCACAGTGGTTGAGAATCTGCCTGCCAATGCAGGGGACACAGGTTCGAGCCCTGGTCTGGGAAGATCCCACATGCCGCGAAGCAACTAGGCCCGTGAGCCACAACTACTGAGCCTGCGCGTCTGGAGCCTGTGCTCCGCAACAAGAGAGGCCACGATAGTGAGAGGCCCGCGCACCGTGATGAAGAGTGGTCCCCGCTTGCTGCCAACTAGAGAAAGCCCTCGTACAGAAACGAAGACCCAACACAGCCAAAAATAAATAAATAAATTAAAAAAAGAATCATGCTCTCTTGGCAGGAGTGGGCAAGAGAACCTTCACTGATCTGATACCAGAACTGCAACAGGCTTCAGACACTGGAGCTCCTCCAGGAAAGACGTTTCTTTCTGCTTTTCTGAGCAGGTCTGATTTAGCCACATTTTGGTGTAGAATGCTATCTGTTAAAGAAGTTCCAAATAACACTAGGAGAATCTGCTTGACGGTGTATTCTGTGTACGTGTGTGCAAGGACATCTGTGCACGTGAGTGTGTTTCTACCCGTAACTCTCCTGCTCTGAACCACCAGGCAGCGCTGGTGCAGTGACATTTCCTGCCTGTATAGTTCCCTCTTGTGCTTCCAGACTTTATCAACACTTTTCTTTATCTTGGATTACTTCTCCGGAGTCACTTAAAAAGAACTGGAAAATTATAGGACTATTTTAACATTAACAAAGTGGCATTTTCTCATGAAAGCAAACAAGAGCAAATCTTTTCATTTTCTTTGGCTGTCAGTTACAAGATGAGGTGGAATGGAGTAATAGAAATTAGCTTAATGGGAAAACAATGTATCTTTTAGAGCAGCTTTGCAGTTAGAAGATATCAAGTACAAATTTTAGTGTTTATAGATATACACATACATTTATTTATTGCAAATAAATAAGATGCCAACGCACGAGGAACAGGAGACTTAATACAGTTGCAAACTCCTCTATATCACTACTGTTAATATATAATAAAGGAGGAAAACATGTGGCAGGCTGGATAATATTTCTGAAGACTAGTTTTACGTAGAGTGAAATCTTATATGGTGTATTCTTCTTTATGTTCCAGTGTTTTTGCAAAATAGTAAAATAATACAAATTGAATGCAGTTTTTTTTTTCTAGGAAGAATAACTGTGCATTTTTCTGTTACATCTTAGCATTGGGAAAATTGTACCTCCTGGGGATAAAGTGTTAATAACAATGGTAAATGTCTACATTTAGTAAAAGGGGTTCATTTACATTGCACAAAAATCCTTATTTGGATGAAGCTTTTACATAGGGTAGTTGTTTCTGAATAATTGGTTTCTTCCCTGGTGTTTAAGTACCTCTTCATTGGATCCTCCTAACACTTCCAAAAGTGAGTTGAACTCACTGTGACACTTACTGTTTAAAATACACATATTTCAAAAAACAAAACTGAGCTAGCCTGTTCTAGGAGGCTCAAACATTTAATAATATATTTTTGGAAAAAATTGTTTTTTCCTAGTTGAAAGCCATAGCAATTTATACTACATACACGTTTTAAAAATTATTTTCTAATTATGTTCAATAAACAAATGTACGTCTTCAAGAAATCAGTATTAAAAAATAACCATTGTGTATAATTTCCCCCAATATTTAGAGTATATTTGTTTCCCTTTTCTAAAAGTTAATCTAATTTATATTTCCTTTTAAAATAATTGTTTTGGAAAATTGCCAAAATTGAAATATTTGTTCAGATAAAGTGTGTACTAGGTGAGTACATGAAGTCAGTGGGTAGCTTATTTATATTACTTAATTCCACACTGATTATTCATAATACTTACGCATCTAACGTCATTTTCCTGGACGATCATAACATTTCCCTGTGTGGAAGAGGTGAAAAAATATTTATTACTATTCCAAAGATGAAAGAAACTTCCGAGTAATGCATGGTTACACTTTTTTCCTGGCAGTGGCAAATGAACATTGGCTTAACTGTTTTATTTGAAGCTTTCATGAATAGCATGAGAAATATTTGATCGTCTCTAAAGAAAATGCATCTTATCAAACCCACATAATTAAAGCAGGAGACCCAATGTTTCCATATCTCCCACCTACTAGCTCCAGGGACAGATTCTCCTACGTTTATTTTCATTTAGATGACAAAGGGCGTGCATTTCAGTGTGAATTTTGGAAAGGGAGAAGATCTCAGAAATTGTGTGCTGACTTCAACTACTGCAGCATTCCATTTGTATTTTGAGTATTGCAGAATCTTGGATCATGTGAACAGGGAACCAAATTTGGAGAAGCAGTCACAGTGCGATGAAGAACGTGGACTATGGCATCAAAGAGGACTAGGTTCGGGCTTCCCTGATAGCGCAGTGGGTGGGAGTCCGCCTGCCGATGCAGGGGACAAGGG